TTTCTCTGAGGATGTTTCCATTCTTTTCTATGCTATTTGTCTCACAGTTACTAGGAGGACTATTATTATTTGCTGCCTGAAATCATCAGTATAAGGCATGAACTGTGGATACCAATGAAGAACTGTCTGCAATTCTAATAGAGTTCTTACTTTCCTTTATAGTTGGCATGTATACTGAAGTACCACATAACTAGGATGGGCTTTGTTCATGTCTGGCCCAAGCAGGTGGGCTTGGTGCAGGTTTGGGTTCTGGGGATTATGGCAACGATGTGTGTTGGGTTTTTTTTTCCCCAAGTTTTTTGGGAGAACTGGCAGCATCTGTCCACATTATTGAAAAAGCAGGAGCTGGCTGAGCTGTGGAATGGAAGAGCTTTGTATGGCTGTTCTCATTGCCACAGTGATTGTTTTTTAAGTGATGGAATTAGAGCACAAGAGTTTTCTGTAGGCTGCTGCTGCTGTGTGGGTCCAGTGGCAGAAACTCCCTTGACTCAAATCCATGAATGAGCTCCTCAGATGCAGAGGAGTTTCTGCAGAACCACAGAACGATTTCTGTTTGGAACAGTGTTTTACAGATCCGTTGTGTTATGTGCCCTAACTTTGGGAATTGCAGGAGGCCGAGATAAATTTGCAACACAGAAAACAAACAGCATCAAATTGCGTTACCCATTTCTGTAGTTACTTTTCTGGATGGAAGAGATGCAGCTAAACCCAACGCTTCCAATCTGTTTAAAATGGAGCTGTCAATCAATAAACAAAAGCCAGTGAGCTGCATTTCTGGCACAAGGCAGAGCTGAAGTCCTTGTAAATCCTGATATTCTGTAAAGCACACAGGGAGGGCAGCATCACACGGGTAAGTTCTTATTTGTCTTCAGGAATGCTGGATCTGTGTACAGATCAGGTTCACTCAGAATATGTTTCCAGCTACTCACTGAGCATGGCATAAATACAGAACTTGGCAGCGTACCAAAGCCTTGCTTTCATAACTTGTCTGCTCTGTTTTACACGTGTAGCAAAATGCTCAATGTGCTGCTTTGGTTTACAGGGCATGGGCGGGCAGCACGGTTACTTTGGACTCTGGGTGGACAGTGATTATGGGAAGGGACACAGTAAAGCAAAACCTCGATGCACCACCTACAACAGTCCTCAGCTGTCAGCTAAAGAGGATTTCACACTGGATGCCTTGGAAGTCTGGGCAGTGGGAGACATGCCTGAAAGTGCAGAGGTTGGTGAACAGGGCTGACAGCTGTGAAATGGTGTCGGAATGGGAGGAGATGCGAATGAAAAATGTGCAGTTTCGGTTTTCTCATTAACACTGGCTCCCTACTGTAATGAAGAATGTTTTCTTTAACTCAGCATTTTGTTCCAATTGCAGAACAGTGAAACGGGTGGGAGTTCTAGTAAGAAAAAGGATCAGGAGCTGTGAGGTGATAGAAGAACAATACTCGATTCAGAATTTCTAGAGGCCTTTCTGATAGAGGAATGGCTTCAAGGGAGGAACCTCCTTGGAGGGGTTGAGTAAAACCCAGTGTTTGTAAAACAGAAACAAAGGCCTAGAAGTGCAAAAAGAAGTCTCAGCTAAAGCTCAGGAAGAGAACTGAAAGAAGCAAAATGTTTCTTTATCAGTGAGTTGCAACTTACTGTTGTTTTGCAGTAGATTAGCCATTTATAATCCTTGCAGCTCCAATCTCAGCACTTCCTTATCTAACAGAGACTAATAAAAAAGCAGCAGGAGCTGCATTTAAACAGCTGATACTCTGTATAGAGCAGTGATATTTGAAGTGCCTAGGAAACCTGCTTTCAGCCGGGATACAAAGAGAGAGCTTTGTTGCTTAAATAGTTTGTGATTAGATTTATGTCAGTCTTTCTGCACCTGGCTTATCCCTGGCAGTTAGTATGAGACCTCTTTCCCGTCTCCTCTGTCCCTGCAGTTCATTCTCTTATTAAACTGTCTGTTCTGCACAGTTGCTTGGGTTTTTTTTTTTTTATGGCTGTTTTTGTTTTAATTTTATATTTCTTTTCATACTAAATTAATGTATCCTGTCTGCTCACTGGACACAAAGAATTTCTGAATAGAAACGGAACAAATTGTTTACAACTGTTGAATTGTACTTGAATCTATTCCTTAAAAAAGAATTCACATCCGTGCTGGAAATTGAGGTCAGGCTCATAGCTTGAATGAACCTGAAACAGTCCAACGTCCCATCAGACATTTTGTTCTTTCTATTTTGTCTATTTGTTCTTACTATTTAGTCATTTGATGTATCCCAGTGAATCTTAGATGCCTTACTTGAAAAGAATGCTTGCTTCATTGTGACAAACTCGCAAACCACATTTCTTGTGGACTTTTGAGTGCGTCTCTTTCTGTAGCTGAATACTGAATAACTCACAGTGACAATGTAAACTGACTTTATTTTATTTTGCTTTACAGACTAAAGGTAAGAAGAGTATCCTGGATGTAGACCCTGAGGCTCAGGCCTTACTAGAAATGACTGGGAAAAGTCGGCACAGCGAAGGTTTACGAGAACCCCTCGAAGATGAAGATGATGATAACTGAAAGGATTTGCTCCTCCATGTTAATATTCCTCTTTTTTTCCCCCTTATACTTCCTTAAATATCTAGAGCTACCCTTAAGCCTCACACTTACACATTTAGGTTCAGTGCAATATTTCTGCCTGAAGGGTTTTAAAAAATTAACTACATACTTCAGAGATACCTATAATTAAGTGCCAGCTGACTATGAAGAGCATTCCTGGTAGATCTGAATTTAAAAACAAAAGTTACTGACAGTACTGCATACTGACTTGGGGAAGAACTGATGTGTACTTACATGAAAACGTGTAGACAAGACATCGATTAAGGCACTTATACCTCATCTACATGTATTTATTGGTATGCAATCAAATTAGTGCAAATTTTATTATAGCTTATTATGTTGGTAAGCACAGAAAAGTCTCATGATTCCATATGAAGAATGTTATTAATTTGCTTTGCTTCAGTTAAATCAAGCAACTCTAGGGGCTGTAAGAGGGGCAGAACTCTTAAGAATACAGAATCCAGTTTGATGGTAATACTTGGATGAATTTCACTAAATATGATTCTGCAGAAACCTGTTGTTTTTAAACATAGTAAAATGAAGCCAATGAGTCAGTCAGTCATATTTATCCTAAGAATGAGCAAACCCTGGGCTCCTGGAACAAACATACCTCAGCAGAAATTCCCTAGGGAGGAAGGTGCCTTCTGTAGTGGCCTCGAGTGGTGTAAAAGATGGAACTGTGAAATGGATTAAGCAAGAAACATCCACAGGTAATTGTGAATAATAGCTGCACATAGCTGTAGATAAATAAATGAATGGAAGTCAGGCTTATGCCTTTAACTCCTGTAAAGAAGACTACCACACATTTTATTTCCACATACTTAATCAACATTGCTGTAGCACAAAAGAGATGACAAAAGCATGAAACGTCACTTGCAGGTTGGGATTCTGATCGTGGGGCATTCATTCGTTCTCTTCTATGTGGTCTTTTCCTCCTTCTGATGCTTTTTATAGAGAACCAGATTTGAAATTCCAGGTAATCTGCAATTGTGTCTTAATATAAATCCCCCTTCTTTTAATTAAGGTATATAAGCATTTGTCTTTGAGAGGACAGCACAAGAAATCACTCCAGCCATATATCCTGCAATTCAGCTGTGCATTCAGTGCCGCTTTTAAGTGGTGTACAATAGAAAATGCTGTGCAGACAGCAGCTCATTACATGATGCTTTCTGTAAGCGTGGCAGTGCTGACTTCTGTTTTAACACGTTACTGTCAAACTCCCACCAAACAGCTCAGAAGTATTCTTTGCTCAGGCCCCATCAGCACTTACTAAATACTGCCGAAGCAGAGAGCATGCAGACACAGCTGAATTTCTGCAGTTACACAGTAAGTAAACACTCAACTTACCTTTGCCCCCCCCGCCCATAGTGAGGCAGAGACTTTTTCTTGAAGACAAAAACCACTTGTAAGGATATTTTTAAAACAGCAAGCAGGGAGGGTGAGTTGCACAAAGCTGTTCTTCACCAAAAATTATTACAATTGCTGAGTTTTCTTCAAATTAAACTGTGTCAGTGGAGCTGGTTTTTTCTAGGCTATGAATTGAAGGTATAATCCTGTTTAAGTATCTTGTGGAGCTTGTGGAGATTGGCATAGCATTTTGAGCTCCAAAATTCTGTTTTATGACAAGGTAAGAGTCTCAGGCTTAAACTTATCATGTTAAGTGGAGAAGACTGATACCACGGCACTGGCAGCAGATGTCAATGAAACACTACTTACCCAACCCAAGCAGTTGGGATTGTTCAAGATGGGCATGGAACAATCTCAACTTTCTTTTTTTGGATTGAGCAATCTGTGTTTAACACATCAGTAAACGTCCAGAAAATGTGCCTGTTCTCAGCAGCAGGCTTGATCTAAACATCTCTCACTTCCATGCAGTTGTTGATCCAACTTCAAAGCTCAACATCCTGTGCTCTTGTGAGAGTAAGCCTCTTCCCCATTGAACCCACCCACCACTGCTCACCAGCTCAGCCAACCACTTTGCTCCTTCTAGTTACACAGGGACAAAAGAACCACTGCAGTGTTCAGCAGAGGCTGACAGGAGTGCTGCACTTTAACTTTCAATTCTTTGTTTGAAAACTCACCCCAGATTCCTTTAGAGTCTGGTTGGATCAAAGCCAGGGATCACGGGATCTGGAAACGCTATGGATTGGTGATAGAAGTGCTCACAAAGGCAGTTCTTTTCAGCTAATTTAAAATAAAAAGATGGGTCTAATTCAAGAATCTTCTTCAGATACTTCTGTGCATCATTTTGAAACATAGAATTTTATTAATAAAAATCACTGTGATTTAAATAAATAAAACTTCAATTTATGCACAGTAGATTTTTCTGTACAGGTGTGAAACTGCGTTACTCTGTTTGGGGGCTACCAGCATTCTCAACACAAAGATCAATGTTATAAAAATATACCTGATCTTGCTTTAAAACAGGAGTCATTCCAGAGATGTCTGTAGACAGCTCACATAGCTTATGTACAGTGCACAAAAGGAACAGACTGGAGTGGGAAGAAATGTTTGGTACAGATTCACTGGGGTGTCTTTGGAAAAGATGCTATTGTTAGACCAATGCATTGAGTTCCCCAGCATCACAGCTCTGCTCTGGGCATCTCTGGGCATCAGTTACTGCATTCCTTGGTGTGCTTCTGGTGGCAGCAGTGTTTTTCACAGAGTTTGACCAACTCAGACACGATGAAAACTGAGGAAGCCAGTCCAGTAAGAAAGAGCAAGTCTGTAGAGAGGAAACAGAGCGTGGGCAAACACAGCTGGATTTCGTGTTGGGCTGAGGGCCATCCTTCAGTACATACCTGTTCTGGTGCATCAGCACAGAGGTACAGCCTAGCTATGCTCATGGTAGTTGTTGAATTGGAATAGACTTGTCTACTGTCTTGTCTATTCTTGTCCACAGTGGACACGCAGTCACAGCTGGTACAGCCTATGTGATGGCTGAACATCATTGATCATTTAGAATCACTGAACCCCACTTCCAACAAAGTTCCTAATGTAAATATGATATAATTTAACACGGTAGAGTTTGCTCAGTCTGATTCAGATGGTAAAATATGCATTGCATTTCAACTCAGCAACATTTACTGAGCTTTTTGCAAAATGAAGCGACTGCATAATGATCCTGGATAGATTTATTTAATGAAAAATCATCAGACAGAGCTCATGGAAAATCTCAATCTGCCTGCATTTATGTACAGTAAATCAAAACTGAAAACCTGGAATATCATTAACTACAAGCATTTTTGTGTAACTGCTTCTCTGTATTTAGGTATACGTGCCACTGCCTGATTGCTCCCACCAGCAATCTCACGGGAGCTGTCACGTAGCAACTCTGCAATTCCACCTGCTTTCTGAAGTAGCTGAGAAGAAGATAGATATGTATTTTGTAACTTACCTAGCACTCCTAAGTTCTCTGTCTGGAAGATCTTCTGTAATGGAGGGACGTATATAACAGCCAGCTGTCCCAGAAATGACCCGAGCACAGAATACAAGAACATGCGGTTTCGAAAAAAGCCTATTTCCAGTATCAGCTTTGTCTAGAAAAGAGGGAAAAAAATAAAAGGAAACACAGCATTTCCCAATCTCCTGTTGGTATCTGAACGTCAGGCCGTGTCTTTGCACATAAACTCTGCCACTATTGGGAGTACTGAAGTTACATGAATGCTAACTCGGGCAAGAGCTGGACAGCTGAAAGCATCACAGTTGAACAACGATGGGTAGCAAAGATGATAAAAATCACACTGCTCTGAAGGACTGTTAAAAAAAGCCTTCCCATGCAAAACGTTTGCATTCTAGTGGGTTTTCTTCAGACCAGAAATTGTTGCTGATACGACGATCTCACCTGAGAGCGACACGTCAGAGCATTGAAGAGGTCGAAAAACACAAAACACGTGAAAGTCATGGTTGTGGTCCGGGGGGTTATGCCACCTTTAGGATTCTGAAAGCACACACACAGTTCCAGGGGTCAGGTAAGCCTTGCAACAGTAAGTCCATGCAATAGGTGAACTAAATATTCCCTGTAATGGTCCCAGGCAGTTCAAAGTACAGTCAAGTAAAGGAATAAATCTAGTTAGTACAGGCAGCACTGATTTCTCCCTGCTAATTGCTGGGTTTATGATCTTATCAACCCTATTTTTAACTGATGCAGATTTTGAATGAAGCATATTCTAAACTGCATTATCTACACCGTTACAGCACTAATAATTTTAACTAACCAAAATACTAAAGTACTTACATGCTTGATATTCTCTACATCTACAGAACTCTAGAGGCAAAAGCTATCTTGGAGTGTTGGAATCGTTTCAAGTCATAGTTTTCTCATTCTAGATAGGAAGGGTCAAATAAGAGACAAAACAGGAAGGCAGAAACAGAGCAAGGACTCTGGCTTCCTAACACTCTGCCCTTACTAATCCTTTCCCATTGGATGCATTTCAGGGAGTTAATGTGTACTGCCTTCAGAAATTGCCCTTCACTTCGTTCTGCACCCTGATGAAAACAAGACACGATTGCAGATTTTCCTCACCTCCTTCCAGAAGACAAAGAGGGTTCCACTAATGATAATTAGAGCTGACATGAAGATTTTCAGGATCAGTGATTTGCTGAGTATAGTGTCCGTAATACATCGGGGTGGCTGTTTGATTGTATCCTTATCAACAGGTTCAACTCCCAAGCTGCCTCAAATAGAAGAGGAATGCTGCATTTAGTTAACACAGGTTGTCCTGAGATGATACTGCTGGTAAGAGAAGATGGATCTGGAAGATTAAATTCTTTTAAATAAAGCATGAGAGATGCCAGTGTTCTGGCAATGTTACATAAGGCTGTATTATCTGTGAGAGCAAGATAAAGGGCCTTTTTTGTTTTGCAAAGCAAACTGCTACAATGACATAATATTAAGCTATCATAGTGCATCGTACCCATACATCATCATAGAGAGAAAGCTAGGGGTAAGATTTCAGCCAACATCCCTCCCATAATGAAGATGCTGTAATTAGCAGTTCAATGAGGTTCTTGTATCTTGTGATTTTGGTTCCACCCCAAAACAGGAAGATGTCAAGCCTCAAGTAAGAAGCAAGTAAATAGCTTCAGGAGGGACCAGAAGGGAATACAAGGACAGCTTGTCTTATTTAGCCATCAAGTGATTGGCACACTGATAAGAAATCATAACAGCTTGTGCTCCTAAGCCAACACAAAGCTGCTACGTTGCTCATTTGTCTCCTTTATACCTTTGGGCTGGGGGCCCATCCATGATGATGTTGATCCATAAGATCTGCATGGCATTGAGGGGATTAGGTAGGTTGAGCACTGTTGACAGAGTAATTAAGCTCAAAGCTGAAATGCTCCTGCAAAGCACAAAAGGAGGTTTAGTCTGCGTGGCCTTGCTTCCTCTGCAGTTCAAGCAAACAAGAACTCACGTGCTCAGCTGGAACCGGACAAAGTTTTTTATGTTGTAAAATATTCCTTTTCCCTCTTCTATTGCATTCCTGGAAGGGAAGGGAGAATGCATTTAATAACATTAACAGTGTTTCACACAGAGCTCTTCCTATGACACTTGAAGACAAGTTACCTTCTCCAGCTCTTATCTCAGCTGAAATAAAGGCCTCAGCTTAGAAAGAGGAGAACAATGTATCTTCTCAGTCAGAATGATTTTATCAGGACTAATCAATCTGAAAACTGTGGTTCACGTGGCCAGGTCTTGGTTCATAAAGCAAACACGTGACCTATTATATCCTCACTCTACTCTACCTTCTGTGCCTGTTGTTACAAACCAACGGAGTGTTGCAAATTATGCATCTTTCCTCTGAACTTCTTGCACAAGGCAGAGGGAACAAGTTAAGATTACCCAGACCTGTAGGCACTTATAAATCTCCAGGTAGCTACAGTAACTGAGGAATCTCTATAGCTACAGCAACAAGAAGCCAGGGCTTTCAAGTGAAAGCTAGGTTTGTCACCACCACCCGAAACAAAAAAGTTATTGCAGTACATGCAACTGAAAGTGAGCCAGGCCCCGCTGAGGAATTCATCTCCACTTACACGTCCTGCCTCTTGTGATTTTCCCAGGGCTAGTCACATAACAGCCTCATTGCAATGGATAGCCAGAAAGCACCTGAAGTAAGAAAGGGTCAGATACTAAGGAAGTCTCTGAACCTACATTACTGTTGAGAAGTCATCGTCCACAAGGATCATGTTGGCAGCCTCTTTGCTGACATCTGTACCCGCCTGCCCCATGGCAATCCCAATATCGGCAGATTTCAGAGCCACAGCATCGTTAACACCATCTCCTGTCATTGACACAACGGCACCAGCTCTCTGCAGAGCCTGTGGGGGAGAAGAGAGGGACTCTGAAGCCAGGAGAAGAGAAGTCCTGTTGGCAATCGCAGGGCACTGAACAGAACTGCTGCATAGTTTGAATACAGACTGCTTGTTAATACCAAGCATAATATTGCTTGCATCTCCCAAATGACCCAGGAGAGGTGGGCAGCAGAAGCACTAACGATATTGTTGTAAGCAGTGCCAATGCTTTAGCTTTGGTTTTCTGGTCATCTAAGTTTGAGCTGATCTTGTCCTGGGAGACATTGACACAACTCCTGAGGCCCACCCTGTGCCTCACTTTTGCCAGGTTTACAATGGATTTGAGAAACTTTTAGTACCTTTATGATTTTTAGCTTGTGCTTTGGACTTGTTCTAAAGAAAATGGAAATCTGAAAAACAAAAACACATGATGGTATGAGATGGATGCTAGTGGAGATGGAACAAGGCCTTGATACTGTGTTCAAAACCATTACATTTTTGACAGTTGATGAGAGTTCTGACTCTGCCACTTGATCCAGCTCTTCCCCGGACATGGCTTTCAGTTTTCCATTGCAGAGACCAATATTCTGCCCTGCAAAGAGAAACCCAGAATAAGATCCGCTCATCAGCTCTGGAAAAAGGCAACATTTCCTGACTTGAGGAGCAGGGGCAGCAATTTAAGAGCTGATGAAGGCAGTCACCCTGGCAGTGTGGAAGCAATGCAACACTCAGGACTGGAGCTGGTACTGTGTCCAGCCCTCTCCTCTCTGCTGCTTGCACAGCGTACTTCTAAAGGCAGAAGGCAAAAATGGGAAGCAGAGATGCTCACACTTGGAACATTAGCAGAGTCCATAATCCCAGCAAGGCCATTTATCTCATTTAAGGACATTAAGGCTGAGATTTTGCCATTTCTTGCTCTAAAACAGCACAAATCTACAGGAATTTGGCCCATAGTGCACAGCTGTTTTATCACTGCATTTAATATTTGTTTCAGTGGAAAAGGCAGGAAGTCAGTGATATTTAAAGCCTCTATTACACAAAGAACGATACAGATAATCATTGATAGGTAATGTAACACAACACTGGACTGATCTGACAGAGTAGGAAGGAAACCAGGTTCATTACCTATAGCCACAGCAGTTTCCAGGGCATCTCCAGTTATCATCTTTACTGAGACACCAGACTCAACAAGGACCTGCACAGCTTCTTTCACTCCAGCCCTGGGGGGATCAATTATTCCAACCAGGCCCAAAAAGGTCAGTTTGCCAAGTTCTGAACCTGAAGCCAAAGCGAGTACTGGAAACAGAGAAGGGGGAAAAAAAAAAGACAACAAAGCAAAATTACTTATAATTCATTTCCGTACATTAAAATGAACACTTAGGGGAGATCTTAACTTCTCAGTTTTCCAACTGAAAAAGTCATTCAAGCCACATATTCAGATCTTTTTATATAGGAGGCTCAAAAAATTGCTCTGCTTGAACAGCATTTCTGTTTCCTACATTTCCCTCACAATTTATTCCTATCTAATTTAAATACCTACTAAGTCTTCCCTAAAAGCAGGCAGATTGAGACAGTGCAACATTAGAGCAGACACTATTTCAGTGCTGTGTAAAACAATAGTGCCCCTGTGAAAACAGAAGTGTTTGAGGTTTTATTTTAATCTACGATTTGAGAAATAAATCTGGTGAAACTTTCATCATGTGAAGCAAGGCTCTGAGCACTCTGCTTCTGTTCTCACTGCCCAACCCATATTGTCCAATTGGTCCTGAATAACTCCAAGATATTTTGCCAGGTGTTCAGGGCAGCATTGCTCTGATGATTGAATCACAAGCTCACAGCAGCTGCCTCAGCTAATTGCTTTTCTTTTGGAAGGTGATTTGCCATTCACAAGCCAGATTTAGATATTGCCAAGCAAGCTCCATACACCAGTTACTAAGCAGAAGATGCAGGACTGGAGAACACATACATTAACTACATCTTCCAGACCTCGCTGCCAAGACATGTTCTCATTTACTTACATCCTGAGAACACGCGAAGGAGATGAAATGTCTCTGTTACTGTGTGAAAGTCTAAGATGTTTCTGATGTGATCTTTCAGCAATGAAGGAAATGCCACATTTGTAACAAATTCTCCACTTCGTGCACTGACATGAAGTCAGGATCAAAAGGAAATCATTACGTTTGGTCCTAATAAAGAATTGAAATAAGCATCAAATGAAAATGTCAGGGCCCAAATCCATGCTCTGATCCCCCTTCACAGTTGCTTTTTGTTGCTCTTAAAACAGCTCTTCAAAGCAAAACTTGGCAGAGCACTGACTAGATCAGGTGAAGCTCTCAATGCAACTTTCACTCTGTAACTCAGATGATCACAGCGCTTCAGGGAAGAGAAACATTCACTGGTACCAGTGCTTATTTTCAGCTCCTTTCAAGCTCACTAAGTTAAATCCAGCAGGAAGGAAAAAAAAAAAAAGGAGAAAAAAAAGAAAAGATTAATGGTAACCAACATCCAGCACACTAAAACCCTTGCTAGACTCTGACACGTACCATGGAGAGATCGTGCAAGTGATGCGAAGGGTTAAGCCTCTGCCCATCCTAACCAAAACTGAGCAGGAAGGTATTGGGGCATAACAAGGGACACAGGCAGCAAGCACTGACCTCGTAGACCTGAGGAGCCCATTCTTTTCTCTTCCTGCTGGTAGGAGGCTTTCTGCTGAGGTGTGAGCATTAATGAGATGCCACTGCTGTTATACATAGTGCAATGTCGAATCACTTCTTCAAATGCCCCTTTCATGAAGTAAATATCTTCCTGATCCTTTAGAGGGAGAAGATAATGTATTTTATCAAAGGAAAAAAAAGAAAGAAGACATTAAAAAATACTGGCAATGCATAAAGCTTTTCACCTGATACAGACAAAGTCCTTTCCTTGCTCTTTTGCCTGTTTCATAACATGCCCACCTGCAAGTGTTATTTATAGGATGCAATGGCTTTGCTTGGGCCATTTTTCATGCTCAGCCACTGCAGACACAGCCTGATGAAAGGGTATGAGTTGTTCACCCAGAGAATATCATCAGCTGAAACAAGCTCCTTATTAAGCAGGGAGGGAAGAACGGCCAACATTTTCTTCCAAACATCACATCTTCCTTCTCCTGCCAGTTTTCACCAACAGCTTCTGTTTTCCTGATCAAACCACTCCACAAAAAGAATTCTCCTATTCGAGCACAGCACTACCAACTAAAATTACACCCAAGTCAGGAATTCTGAGGTTTGCTCAGTTTCTCCTCCTGATACACTTAACTTCTGAAAGCACTGTTTGCTGAAGAGATACCATTTCATGCCCATTGTTGAAGTGCACAATTAGAAACACGAAACCAGCCCACAGGACTGCTTGCTTTACCTGATTTTTCAGTGTGCATTTCACAGCCATCCACTTTTGTTCAGAGCTAAATGGAATTTCCTTCTTTCTTGCATAAATATCTTTTATGTCAGCTAATTCCATCTGAAGTACAGTAAAATAAGAAGAGCACTGTAATGCTGAACAATGCCAAAGCTTCTCTTTACTTTTTATGGCACAGATTATGTCAGGAACTGACCATGTACTTCAAAGGCAGTTGTGTTTTATAGAGCACAAGGGAAAGCATTGGGAAGAGTAGAATCTCTATTTCAAAAAGATCTTTTCCCCTTGGTGCCTGATATGGGATAAACTAACCCATTAGTTTGAAGCTTTTGCAAGAAGCACTGGGCTCTGCAAGAGCACTAACCATGGAGCTACACTGCTGTCCAGGCCCTCAGTGGGGCTTTGGATCAACTTTGTTAGAGTTACAGGCTTAACATGAGGAGCTAAACCAGATGTCTGCATTCCTTCATCAGCCACCTGCTGTAACTTACAGCCCACCTGAGCTCAGAGGGCCACAAGTTCTGCAGGGTTGATCTGATGATTCCTTGAGGTGCTTATGGCCTTCTGTCTCTGAGTATGAGTACAACATTCATTCAAAATTCTTATTTTACATAATCATGTTCAGAACAATGGAAACAGCTATCAAATGATCCAAACCCAGGGTGGCCCTATGCTATGCTTTCCGGCATGGCCAGTTCTTGCTTGTTTTTCACACTCATCTTCCTCCTGAACTCTTAACTTGAATCCAGAGGAAACGTAAACAGACATTTTGGTTTGAGCTCAGAAGAAATCTATGCAGAATAGCTGCACTAATTAACCAAGCAAAACAATTACTGCTGTTAGCACAGAAGCTCGGGGAAGGTGTTTGTCCATGACAAGAGACTTACACGGGAGAGGTGTACATCTACAACCCTGGGAGAAGAGAAAAGGAAAGAAAGGATAAAAGCAGTCTGCAGGCTTTACAGAAGTCTGACCACTGCTGTCAGACTTTACAGGTCCAGCTTTTCTTATTATTTTTTTTTAAGTTCTGGAATATTTTCAATCTCAGCAATCTTACCTTCATTGCGAGAGCAAGAAGAGCTCCTTCTGTGGGCTGTCCTATCACACTGTTTTTCCTGATAATGGCATTATTGACCACGCAGCCAGCCTAGAAAAAGGGAAGTATTCACATGGCTCATTTCTTCTAGCACTAAATTAATAGCTTTTTCCATCTCTTTCAATGAAATAGAGAGAGATTGCAGAATGAAAGCAACCACATCCCAAAAGATGTACTACTCCCTATAACTGCATCTCCTGAGATAAGTTCTTGTGCTTTCTAAACCTGCTTAATCCGCAGAATGTACCCTTTTTTTGGGTAAATTTTACATTTTGGACAAATAAACCTGAAGCAAAACTCTCTCTCTCTCTCTCTCTCTCTCTCTCTCTCTCTCTCTTTATATATATGTATATGTATATCAAACTAACTTCAGAAGTCATGAAAACTCAGACCTTCCTACCATTGCTGCTGATGTGCAGTATGGGTACAGTAAAGCCTAACCTCCATTTGAGGCTCCAGCTCAGATCGTTTCACTGTTCAAACACTCCACCTCAGCCTACACTCAAATGCCCAAGATTATATTTAATGCCAACATGAAATCCAGAGACTGTGGCAGTGCATTTACATACTGATTGCACAGCTGGCTCAAGTCTAGAGTCTGTCTACATTAAAAACCTGAATGTGGTAACATTAATTGCCCTGTCCTCTGCCAGAATCCTAGCTTGTTCCAAAACATCAGTGACACTCAACTTGATGACTCTGGCCTTTCCCTACACATCTTGATTGCTGCCTTTCACCAATTAGCTTCACGTTTCACATCATGACTACTTGGAGAATTTCTCCCTGACTGCACTCACCAGGCAGCTTGTGTAAGTTACAAAAGAGATAGCTTCACACTCTTTACCCAAAACAATCTATGCTAATTAAAACTGAATGCAAATAGGACAAGCTGATTCATAACTTATACTCACCTCCACTAGTTTCCCAACTGAGACGTTGGAAAATTCTTTAAGTATTTCCTTTGATGGCAGAAGAAAAACATTTCCTTCTCCATTGTAGCCCACCCCACTGACCTGAGGAAAGGAGGGAGGGAGAACAACTTTCTCAGTGCCAGACAACACTACACCACGTCTCCACACACTTCAGGAAATTTCTGATTTTGAAGGGATTTTTCTTTCTAGCTCAAGGCAACGCTGCTGGTAACGAATGTATATTAAGAAAACATAAGGACAAAAAGAATCAGCTCGTCTTCTGAGCTCAAGTTCTGTGGAAGTGCTGTGCAGCTCAGTCAAGAGATCTTGTTCTTTGGTTGCAGTGGGTTCACTGGTATTGTTAAAGCCCTGATCATGCCTGCATTTATCAACTCTGCAAGCAGGTAAATGAGCCAAATATGAACGCACTCATAATAAATATTCCTATAACAGATAGATCCACAAGGCTCAACAGCAGATTTCAGTGTTTACAATTGCAGAGAACAGCAGATGAAGTCAATTTGTTTATGTTATCTGAGTGGCTTTTGTACAGGCAGAGCTGGGGCTGCATGCCTCTCCAGCACTGCAGAAGTCCCTTCTCTTTGACTGAACCAGCAATGAAGTGCTTTTTTGGGACTGACTCAACACTCCATATTTGGGCTTCACAGAACTAAAAGCAAGTCAGCCCCACTGAGCTTGAATAGGAAAGCCCATATCACATCACCACCTCCATACCTCTGCCTGGAAGCCATCTGAGGTCACAAGTCGAGTCACTGTCATCTCATTGGCAGTCAGAGTGCCCGTCTTGTCTGAGCAGATGACATTGCAGCAGCCTGATGCAAGGAAGTTTTTAAATCAGAACTCATTAAGTTGTAAGGAAAGGATGACAGGAAAAGAATTTGATTATGCTTCATGGTACTGTGCAAGTAATTTGGTTGTGAGATGCAGTAGGAGACATCTGAAGATGTCTGCATTGTCTCGAGCATCAGGTCATGAGCAGCCAAAGAAGACCATCATCTCCAGGAGGTGACCAGCATATCCAGGCACTGCATGCCAACAGAATGGCTATTATTACTGTGTTCCAAGAAGAAGTATCAAATGCTCACTCCACCACATGCTTCCTCAGATGGGCCGTTTAATTAACCTTTGCTTCCCTATCTCTAAGTCAGGAACAGCACTTTCCCACCTTCCCAGAGGGTTGTGATGCTAGAAGTGTTGAAAACTGCTGCAAAAAGCACTTTAAAATCCAGCTACGAGTGGGAGCTGCCCCACTCACGCTTTGCTTTGTGACAATAAAGCATGTTTATACCAGGGCCCATTTACAGCAGAATACAGCAAACAAGGGAATGAGAATAGTTAACACCATTCTGGCTATTTTCCATTCTCCGAAAGGGAAAAAAGATGACTTTAGCACAAAAGAGAATCAGACTTCAGCTCCATTTGAAGTCTGAATATCTTCCCTGGCTCCAGAGGTGATTGTACAGTTTAGCAAAGACTCACCAACATGATGATTTCTAGGTAAGAGTCTGGAGAGAATAAAATAGATTGGGCTGTGAGTAAATTAACTGCAGTTTTGACTTGACTAGCTTTTCTGTGCTATCACCTCTAATATTTCATTTTCAATTATTTACAGTTACAGAACCAAGTAAAGCTGGAGGATCATGGCCTCAAGTTGCACTAGGGGAGATTCAGGTTGGACACTAGGAGAAATTTATTCTCTGAAAGAGTGGTAAGGCACTGGAATGGACTGCCCAGGGAGTGGTGGAATCACCACTGGAGGTGCTCAAGGAACATTCAGATGTCGTACTGAGGGACATGATCTAGTATGGAAATATTGGTGGTAGGTGGATGGTTGGACCGGATGATCTTGGAGGTCTTTTCCAACCTTGGTGATTCTATGATTATTTTTCTCCCTTTGAGAAGTTTACCAGACGCTGTACAATTTAGGTATGGAGAGTACAGTTTTTTCCACTTCTAGGTCACCTGGCAGAGTACCTGACATCTTACAGCATGTCTATTTGGGCGCAACCCTTCCAGAACAAAATTCTTAATGAGATAAGGCAGTCTCAGATGTCTGGGTCAGGGCAGGTACAATAAAATCAGGGTGATAAGATTCCTTAACTGCAGAACAAACAAGGGCAGTTCAAACAATAGCAGCATTTCAAAGGCAGACAAATCTTAGCTGAAGATCCAGCTGCACAGCAGATATCTTGAACTACCTGGGCCAGGCTTGGCACTTGGTGCACATTTTAAGAGTGGTTCTAAATGCACAACACATTTTCCCCTTCATATAATTGCCATAGTGACCAAGGTCAGAATAGCAAAGCCTGGAATACAGTGACCTGGGGATGAGGGCCAGTTTGAAGATAAGGAATACTTTCAAAAGAGTTTATTCTGCCCCGTGCTGCGAGAGTGAGCTGGATGCCTTCTCAACATCCTCTCTCATCCCTACTTTCCACAGCTCTTAGAACACGAGAGAGATGGCTACACAGACTACAGGAAAGCCAGATAGTTTTGTCTATGCCATCAGGCTCAACTTGAGGGGCTGCAAGGCTTTTTAGCCAGACAGCAGAGAAGTGGATGGCAGGGACCTGCAGGATGGTCCCATGGAATGGGAGAAAAGGAGAAACCCAGCCTTTCAACTCAGAACAGGCAAGGCTGCAGAGGAGTACTGCTCCTCACGGGCCACTGCCGTGGGATGGGTTGCAGCAGGAGGAAGATGTCACAATTGATTTCTCCCTGCATCACTCCTAAAAGATGACAGCACCTGATCACATTACTGTCAATAAAGTAAGGGAAAAAGGTGAGGAACACAAAGTAGCATTTAAGTTTGAGTGGGTTGCTCAGGCCCAGTAAGAATATTCCAAGATAGAATACACATATTTTCATATTAAAATAATAAGTAATAAAGCAATTAAATAAAGTAATAAAATGATAGAATAAAAATCAAACTGAGGCTCACTTGGCCTCAGCTGAGTTTGTACGAATGACCAAAACCTCTGGCTCCTCTGCAAACTCACCTAAGGTTTCTACGATGGGCAGCTTCTTCACAATCACTCTTTTCTTGGCCATACGAAGAACACCCAGCACCAGTGTCACAGTGACCACGATGGGAAGGCCCTCTGGGATGGCAGCCACTGCCAGGCTGGGGACAACAGAGAGAAAATGGTTTCAATGTATTGGTCAGACTGCAAGTGCTGGCCAACCATTGCAAAGGGACACCTCTGTGGGGTGAGTCTTCCTGCCTACATAGCACATCTGAGTGGAAGTGGGCACTGCTAACCACTGGGACTGCTGAGAAAAAAAATAAAAAGCAAGATATCTATCCAGCCCTTCAACATTTTCCTGGGTAATTTTGACAAAGCGTTCACTTTTCTTTTTCACATGGTTGAAGAGCATTAACTTCTGGTTCAGCAGGGATTTAGAGGTTGGATTTCATTCACTTGGATGGAACGTAAACACTCCCTGACATCACATCTCATCCCACAGCTACTGACTCCCGTCCATACACAGCCCCACATCTCCTACATGTGGGTACAAACTACGTCAGGAGAGCAAGAGCTGCCCAGATATCTCTATGCTGTGCACACTGAAGGGGGCCAACATTAAAGCCCACAACAGCTGTCACGCTAGGAAAACTCAGACGCTGGCCATATTTCTCCTTCACTTATTTCCTTGGGTAATTGAGCACTTCCACGTGTCTCCAAAGCATAACCAAGGAGGATTTTCAGCCACGGGCTGCTCCCCTACATTCAGACTTAACTGCTTTTCTTTGCCACCACACCTCATTCCCTGTTGCTCTGTTGTCCCCCCATCTGTAGTATTGTTTATATTTATTTATTTCCATGGAAAGCTTTTCTAAAGGACTCATTTGAGAGTCATGACAACATCAAACAATAGATTTTATGGGTGCTACTAAAAACACATGGTTTGTTTGATTAAGAGCTTGCACATGCATTTCAGGTCCATAAAATACACATTCCTGTCATTATGTGTAAATCTAGAAAGTACAGCAAAGGTTAATATTTGCTGTTGTTACACTCCCACTGAATTCATAGTACAGACAGGAAAGGACATTCATGGCAAGATGAGCTGGAAAGTGCCAGTGAAGATTTTCAAAATACCTTGTTCAGAGAAAATAAGGAAGAATATATTTGAATGTAATTGATTTCCAAAGACATCCATGCTTCTTTTTCTGTTAAACTCAATTATAAAGCCAACGTCGATCACACCAGGTGCAAGATCAGCATGTACTTCAGAAGGATCTTATGCAAGCTCTCTTCTGTGAAGTGCCCATTGTTTTGAACAGAAAACTCCCTGGAATGTATTTCAGTACAAATCAAAGAGAAAAGGAGCTTTCAAATCCTTACCTAACTCCAATGGTGAACATGCTGAGAAGATGCTTTCCTTGTAACCAGCCAATGAGCATTATTAAACCTGGCGGGGGAAAAACATCAAATTAAAAACACTGAGAAAAGTATACCTCTCCAATCTGCTTTAGCTGCTGTTGAAGAATGAACTATGCAGCGAAGCCCCCAGATCTCTGCTTCCACCTCCCAAAATCTCAGTAATTCCCACCAAGTACTTTTAAAAGCAGCAGCCCTGGATCACAGAAGGCTCTCCCAGCTCCACACACAACTGTGAGCATTGTGTTCAACTCACCAATTATGCCAAAGGAGAAAAGGGTGAGTTGCTTCCCCAGTCTGTCCATGCTTTTTTGGAGAGGTGTTTTGGGAGTCTGGAAATATGAAAGAACAGCTGTTTTTCTTTGTGCATTATGAAAGATGAGAAGATGAAGGCAGGGGTAGAATGATAGCCCCACACAGACCTAGTTATTATTACTGTGGTCCTTACAACTGCCCCATGCTGCCCAGTGCTTACCCACTCCAAAACTGAGATCAACAGTTGATTAGTTTCTAACACCTCATCTGTGTTTGGTTCAGAGATGCAGCCAGTGAAAGCATGGCATGTGTACAACTAAAAATTGATATACCTAGAGGAAGTGGAGGAAAATAAAGAAAGAAAACCAACCAACCAAGAAGTCACACAGTTCAGGCATCTCTCAGTCATGCAGGCATTCAACAGCAGAGACAGATCTAACGCATTAACCCCAGCAGTGCTCCCCCTCATGATTCACCATTTCCAGAGTGACCCAGAGACTTTACCTCTTCAGCTTGCATCATTTTGAACACCTCTCCAAACTGTGAATTTTCACCTGTCCCAATAACTACACCCTGAAAAGAGGGAAAAAAAAGAAAAGAAAAAGAGATGAAAAATCTTTTAGATAAGATTCTGTGGCTAACATCAGGGAAAAGACTGGGGGTGAGAGGACTCACTTTTCCCTTCCCATATCGCACCAGGGTCCCCATGAAAACAACATTGCTCAGAGTGGTTATGTCTCCAGCTTCTAGTAACACACCATCAGTCTTGTTGCAAGGCTCAGCTTCTCCTGTAAAACTGGATTCATCCACCAACAGATCTGTAACCTAAATAAAAACATGCAATTTCTTGCACTGGTAACACACCCTTTCAAAGCTGGCCCTTCTCCACAGAGCTGCATTTACCTCTATTAGCCTGAGGTCTGCAGGTACCCTATCACCAACAGAAAGATATATGATATCTCCAGGCACAAGCTCTCTTGCTAGAAGATGCTGCAGTTTTCCTTCCCTCAGGCTAGATTAGACAAATGGAAAAAGAAGAAAAGAAACCAGGCTGTGAGCTCATTATTCTTTCTGCAGGCTCAGGAATGACAGGCAGGAAAGCAAGAGCTCTGCCCCAAGGATCTTGGGGTGTAAATAACAAAATCTGCACTAAACATGGAATCATAGAATGCTTTGTGTTGGAAGAGACCTTAGAAATCATCTTTTCCCAACCCCCCTGTATGGGCAAGGACACCTCCCATTAAACCATGAGAAGAGAGAGTTCCTTCCCTCTTGCTCAGTTTAAATTAGTGAACAGAAGGGTACATCACAGAACATTTACATGTCACCAATAAATGACATGAGGTCCCAATTAGTTACGCTGCAGTGCTGTCTCCCCAGAGCTTTCTCTTCTCCAGGCTGAACAACCCCAGCACTCTCAGCCCATCTTCATCTTCCAGACACTGCTTTCTCATTACAACAGCAATGACCTGCAGTCATACTCTTTGCCAGCCAGTCCTGCCCCATAACCCATAGGACTCACACCCTACCAGCCAGCTGCGCCTCACCAGTTGCACTCAGGAGGAACCAACTTGTTCAGCTCTTCCAGAGACTTTTCAGAACGATACTCCTTTTAAATCAGAAAGGAAAAGAAACCAAGTTAGGTGAGCAGCCTGCTGGGGGCAGTGGGGCTGAGCCCTGCTTCACGTACCTGGATGAAGGCCACGGTGACCACGATGAGCACAGCCTGAGGACAGAGAGGTGTTACAGGCACTTTGGCTTTGGGAAGCAAAGGGTTGGGGAACAGGAGATGTGCACCTACCATGGTGATGCTCGCAGCATCCTCGTACTCCTTAGTGATGACGCTTACCAAAGCAGAAGCCAGCAACAGGAGAATGAGGGGATTTTTAAACTGGAAAAGGAAGCAAAACGAATCAGAACATAAACATGGTCTGAGCTGGTCTCAGAGCTGTTCAGAAAGGGCTGGAGATGCTGTCTGGCTGCAAGAACCTTCCTGTATGGAGTGGGTGCAGTGTTTGTAGTCAGATTGGGGTCCACGAGGACAGCACTGAGGCTCACACCAACACACACCGATGTCCCCACTTTCCCCCACCCTACACAGGCAAGGTTTGCCTTTTCAGACACCTAGGGCAGGGCTAGCACTGAAATCTCCTTAGAGGCATGACAGGCACGGACAAAGCCTTTTATTGTCTTTTAGAATTTGATACTAGAACTCCTATCTTTTTTCCCCCCTCTCCCCACCCCTCCCCTTTTCTCCTCATTAATCTGCCAAGCTCTGCCCTGGTCACAGGAGCCAGCACTGTCATGTGTTGCAACCCTCACCCCCCCCAAAATGGGAAACATCACCAAAATCAGCAGCAGAATGGGGAAACCACACACTATGGGAGAGTATTGTCACTTTCTCCTTCACTTGTGACAAGGATTTTAAGGGCCCTGCTCCCACATGCAAAAATCACCACTCCATTTAGCTAGCATAGGAACTGGTGGAACTAAATGGCACTGAATAATTTGTTTCATCTCCTCACAGGAGAAATAATTTGTTAAGGCAGTCAAGGAAGAGTCAAAAAACAAAACAAAACCCAAACAACCAAACCAAACAACCCAGCATCTCAGTTTTTTATTGAAAATAAAAGAATCCTTGAAGAGATTGAGTGATGCTTACATCAAAGCAGTAAAAGTGCATTGATCACACAGGAAAAAAAAAGGATAATCCATGAAATAAAAAGCAAGCCTTCCAAAACAAAGAGAATCTTCATTACCCAGCTAAGACAACACCAAAGGGAGCAAAGTAGCAATAATAAAAATTAAGGAAATAGACAAACAGTCAAATTGCTAGCTGAAAACAAATAGGTAAACAAAACCACTCTTCCTATTTGGTTAAAAACCTCAAAGAATCACAGAATCACCACGGTTGAAAAAGATCGCCAAGATCATCCAGCCCGACATCCATCTACTGCCAACACTGCCCCACTACTCCACGTCCCTTAGTACCACTCCTAAACCTTTCTTGACCACCTCCAGGGATGGTGACTCCACCACTCTCTGGGCAGAGGAAGTGATCTTCCAGAGAACAAAAATTAACAAAAATTCCTTGGAGAGGTGAAAGATGCTTTCAATGTATATGAGAGTATTTAAGAACATTCAACATAAGCTGGCTGGGGAAAACAAAGACAGCAAATCCACCTTCTGCCTGATTCCTTGGGTACAGCTGGCTTTCCCAAACCTTCCCTGATTTTATCACCTTAAAGAGAACAGATGTGCTCAGAAACCAGTTCACTGAGCTATAACTTTTGATTTGTGGGCTGCACGGAGATTAAAAGGTTTATTTTTATTTTAAGATGTTATCTCCAGGTTAAATGAAGCCGCATCTGCACCTCACAATGGCTTTACTGTGGGAACAGTTTCTGGATCTGGGGCACATCCTGTCCCAGGGCTGAATTCATGGAATGTTTCAATACAGAGACTTGCCCAAGCCACCCCAGTCAAGGGCTGCCAGCAGGAACCAGGAATCCATGCCAAAAATACTTACCTGGTCCAGGTATTTCTTCCATATAGGCTCTGTGGCATCTACTGAAAATTCATTCCAGCCATGTTTTAACCTTCGCTGCAGCACAGAAAACTCAGAGAGGCCAGTCTGTAAATCAACCTAGCAGGACATCAAAGTAAAACAACATTACGTGGTGCAGGATATTCACAGAAAACTACAAAAGCAAGTCTAAACATCAGACTCTCACTTCGCCCAGGAGCAAAGCAAGAGAGACTGAGAACCTCCCTCTTGTGCCTCAGTACCTCTCCATCCATCTCACTGGCCATAAGCAGCAGTCACAATGCCAGGCATTGCACCCAGCCCTGCCAGGGTCAACATCCCTGCTGGGGACCAGCAACCCCATTCAGCAGCAGCAATGCTGTGAGCAGGGGATGGGGCAGAGCTGGAGCATGAGGCCAGGCTGTGAAGTCAGCTGAGGGTGATAAAACCAGGAATTTTGTCTCTGAAATTAAATTTGCTCTAAAAAGCAAGTTTGAAATCTTTTGTCTGCACTCGCATGATGATTTTTAAGGAGCTGCTGGTGATTTGGGTCAATAGCTGCACAGCCTGCAGTGTTATGTTTCTGAATGTAGCTAAAATCCCTTACGTTTAAGGCTTTAGCCAAGTCTTCTTTATGGCATTTACAAGCATCTTTTGGTAGCAGGACTGTCACTTCCTTCTCCTGTTCAATAACTTTCAGCTCACACTCCTGGCTCTGCAGAAAGGAGATAAAGCACTTGTTAGATGAGGGCCCCATCAGCAGAAACCATTTAGCATTTCTCTACTCCTTCCTCAACCCCATTCTCTTATCCTATCAGCCCTGTAGTCCCATAGGTAACAAAACCGCATCCCCACTGCAGCACTTTATAACACTCCTTAATTAATCCTCAGCCCCAAAGTCAGGTGCACCTCATTGCTCTACAGCCCCAGCGTTCACCCCAGGGTTGCTAGAAACTGTTTGGTTATTAGGCTAAATTTGCTCACCCCTGTGTACATCCAATGGTCAGCTCATCATTGCAATCCCCTCCAGCTGCTTGGCAGAAAGGGGCAGGCAGGGACTGGGACCAGCTGAGTGGTTTTCTATCACAATCTCACAATGACTGAGGTGCTGCCTCGGTTGAAAGGCTGTCTGAACCTTCTTTAGGGTTGTTATTGGCTGGCAGAAAGCAACACGATTAGGAGCTGAATTGCCAAAAGACAAATGTGGCAGTGCTGTGGGTAGGAAAGCATGAGGGGCCCTGTTGTTTGCAGGGATCCCGCCCAAGATAAGCATTTTGACATGCCAGAGTTACCAGTGTTTCCCTCTGTGTTCTATGCTCAGAGAAAGGAAAGCCTGGTTCTCCTTGTTAAAAACAAAACCAACCTGTCAGAGGGAAAAAAGAATGGTAATGGTGAGCTAGGACGATCTCTGCCCCAACAGGAGGAAGCAGACCCTGCCTCCATCGCCTCCAAGTGGGAGAAACCAGCCTCATCTTATGGAGCTTATGGATTGATGAAAGGTGATGGAGGATGGGAAGCGGCACAGGCACGAGGCAATGTGCCTACAGTTTTACACTGCTGGTGGAGCAGCCAGGTCTGCCAGCTCTATCACTGGTATTTACCTTCAGGAAGGTGTGGAGAAGAGGAATGACGGAAGCACATGCGTGATGTCTGAGCACCATGGCTGCTGTGAATGAGTGCTTTTACTGCTGTGAGCTAATCCATAGTGATCAGCCTGTGCCTGCCTATCAGCATGGCGTGGCTTTTACTCCCAGGACAGCTCCAGTGATGTACAAGTTGGGAGTATGTTTGGCATCGTTTTCTATCTATGTTTTAAACCAGATGTGGGCTATCAATATTAACAATTCACATTTTCAGCCCTTTATCCCTTATACGTAACTGAAGCACAACAGAGTGACATCATACAGCTGGGCAACAAGACACAACAAAACCAAAATCAGAATTTACCCGTTATTTTGCAAGCTCAGGGGATGCTGGGGGACAGGAGAACTCTGTGGCAGAGCTGTGCAGCTGCCTGCTCTGTCACCTCCATCCCTGACCCCAAAACAAGCCATCAATTGTTATGCAGCAAGGGGAAAAGCATGGGGCTCCTGGACCAGTCTGTATGTTGTAATCTGGTCACAAGTGGGCTAAGTTGTTTAGTCTAACAAGAGGTCCTTTAAAGCCTTAAGCAGAAGCCTTCTTGTGTATTCTTCATGCTTATTGAATGAAATAAGCCCACCTCAACCCTGAATGGAGGACAGGGCTGGGTAGTGTCTGTGCTCAAGGCTTTGGCTCCTGAGACTCGACTGGATTCAGTGCCACAAGGGAAAGGACAGAAAGGGTTCTGCAGATGCAATGTGCATGGGGTGTCAGGGAAATGTGAGTCATTTACCAGGCTAAATCACAGCCTGGGAATATACTCCTGATACACCAAGTTGTTCAAGCCATGGCGGTTACTGGGATGCTTACAAAATACAAAGAATTGTTGGGTGAACTTAAATAGAACAGCTTGGAAATTTTCTTTTTGAGGGTGTAATAACTGTGCTATTCATTACTCCACCCCACAGACCAGCAGTGACCCCACAGACCTTGAAGTGGTTTCTATTTGTCACAGCATTATTAGAAGCTTTCCTGGTGTGCCCCTAAATAACATCTATGAAGGCTCTGGAATGAGATCCCTCCTGACATCCTCCAGCCCCTGCAGAGCTGTGCTGCAACAGCTGCCTTGTGTTCACCACCAAGGACCTGTCTGAAGCCACTGGGCTTTCACATCTCTGCCTACTTGCCATGCCCACAGCAGAAACTGGTCATCCTACCATGCTATGAGCGTGTCACACTCTGCAGGACCAGAGCTATAATTCAAGCAGGGCGTACATCTCACAGTAAATATGTATCACTGTTTATTTTGGCACAGCAGCAGAACAAGCCAGCCTAATTGCTGTAGGCACTGTGACTGCACAGTGTTAGAAACCTCAGCCTCCCATCGAAACAAGACTGCAGACACTTGCAGCCTCAGCTGCATCGCTCTCTCCTTGGGGTCTGGGGCTGTGCTTGAGGAGCACGGAGCAGCACCACACACTGTGCTGCTATGAGGAAGAGCTCAATGCCTTGCTTTCTTCTCTCTGTCACACTGATCAGCCCCTCTGCTGGAAAGACAAGGCTCTGAAAGGCTCAGAGGATTAGCAGAAGTGATATCTGAGAACAGGCCTCAGCCAGATGATCGCAGGAAAGAACCTGAGGATCTGGAAACGTATGGATGGTTTTGTTGAGAATGGACTAAGGGCAAACCCTGCATGCTGAGGATCGGGTTCATGTGGGAGAGCACCGCATCGCTCTGATGTGTGGGAGAAAAGTGTGTCTTGAGCAATGGAAATCCCTGTGCTGAGCAAGTGTGGCAACAAAAGAATCCCAGCCTGCAACTTTTAGTGGAGAAAAACCAACAGTAGCAACAAATGTGACAGCTGAACCACTGTGCTTTGACCCATAGGCAGTAGTGATAAGAGGTGGTAAAAACCAGCATTCGTACATCAGCATCTTTCAGGAAAAGTGAGCACTGTGAAGCAGGCTCCTCAAGCTGAGCCCTGCAGCCCAGCTCAGTGCAGCAATGCCCAGGAGCAGCACAGGGAACCCACGGGGTGGGTGCACTGCCCAGCAACCCGCAGACCCTGAGCGGTGTGCACTGCATGCAGCCCACAGAAACAAGCCCCCTCCTCACCCTGCTGCCTGGCAGACATCGTTACCCCCATCCCAGCTCACAGCCACAGCCACATCACACACTCCCACGGCACAGAGCAGATCGGCAGGCAGAGGCGACAGACTGAACCCCAAGCACAAAAAGTATTTCGGCAGGTCCCAGCAAGGGCTTTGGGAAATCCTCACCTCCTCTTCTGGCTCGGTGCTCCCAAGGGGCTGATATTTCTGCACGAAGCGAGCAGATGGCCGTTTGGGGAAGAGTTTGGCGAGCACTCCTTCCACCATCTTTGCCGGGGCGGTGGGAGCACCCGGTGCCACGGGCACTGCTTGGATTGCCCTGCAAGCACAGGGCTGTGGTTACAGGCAGGGAGAGGCAGTGTCACCTGCTGCCAAGTCACGCCTTCGGCTGCAGGTGCTGGAGGGAGGCTGCACACCCTTCGCCCACAAAGCCAGAGGAAGCCTGTCTATGTTTAAGAGAGGTTGTGGCGATACGAGAGCGTGGTGTGTGTGTGCAGAGCACCTGGAGATCATACTGAGAGCTTAGCAGCTTGGATTTTCTTCTGCTTGGGCACCAATGCATGGCGTGTGTGTAAGGTGAGCCCCCACCCTGCTCAGGTGAACCCACTGTGAGTTTGCGATGCTGATTTATTAAATAGCGCGGTCGCTCATCTGCCAGAGGGCAGTGTTTTCTTGGTGGATCTCAACATATGGATGAGGTTAACCAGCTGTGTACTTTGGGAGATTTACAGCTGCCTGTCAGGGAGCATCATGCTTGGGTCTGCACCACGAAACCTACACACTCCCCCAGGCAGTGTGACTGCAGGGCTCATGAGGATTAAACTGTCCCTCTGGGGCAGGCAAACTGTGGGATTAAATCCTACCTCTGCAGGGAAAGCTGTGGTTAGGGAACAAATGTCATTCCCAATTAAAGGAAAAAAAATGGTGCCATTATCTGCAGAAGAACAGTTTTCTCCCAGCACTGTGGTGTCCAAAGCCTGGCCAACTTCCAACCACTGAGCCTTTCAGTGCAGCCTTACTTGCATCTTCCAGGTCCCAGCTCCAGCAAAAATGGAGGAGCCCCAGGGACACCCCACATGATGCTGTAAGATGCAGGGAACACTTGTTTCCTACACGCCATGCTCCACTGCAGCAGCCTGGATTGAGGATTCCTTTCCAAAGGCTGAGGGAAGAGCAAAACGATTGGGAAACACTGCAAACAGCCAGTCTCTTGTAAAACAAGGCTGGGACTTCCTACTTCTCTCGGCTCCCGATTGAGAAATGCTTTCTTAATGACCCGAAGCGGATGCGTCAGGCAGATGAAGGAAGTTCCTGCATCACTGCAACAATGTTCCTTCCCATGGGAAAACAGCCAGGATCATGCTGGGCACTGGTTTTCAGGCAGTTCACATCCAGGTCTTCAGGGCCTTAGTCAGGGCTTGAAGGCAGCCAGGGCTCTCAGAGGCACTGGGAAGGTTCAAAACTTAGCAAAATCTATAGGAATGAGGTGGCAAATTATCCCAGCATTCCACATGCATTTGACTATTTTCTATCCTTCTGTAGCTTTTGCAAAGAGCAGAAGTGCATCCAGCTAGCTCTACCATGGTCCTGATAAAAAGAGAAGGCACTACCTCACAAGAAAATGCATCCCTCTGGTCATCTGAGCACGTTTGTCACGGGCACAGCCTTGGGGTCCTGTTGAATCATCCCTCATGTCCTGATAGAAAAAATGTGAAAAACATTTCCTCCCTGTCTGTGCTTGGAGGAAAGATTTGCCTGAGCTTGTCCTTGCTTTTCTGACCCCCAGACCTCTCCCATCACCTATACAGCCAGCACATGGCAGAGGAGCAACCAATAGGCAAAACCTCAGCTCCTCCTGAGGCCAGCTTTGTGCAATGTGTGTGGGTTGTACAATCCCAAGTGCGGCTTTTGTAAGCCAAGCGCTGCTGACAACGCAGCTAATTGAGCAACAGGCTCTTGTTGCTGGTTTCCTCCTATAACTTCCTCCTCTTGGCACAGAGCTGCTGCTTGTGGAGACACACGTAGCTCAGTACTGAATAAACAACCCAGAGAAGAACAAAATCCTGAGTGTATGCAGGGTACAGAGGCCAACATGCCTCAGCCCAGTGAACACTGGGGCACCCACTGGGTGCTAAGCGCTGAAGTCAGGCAGACAGGTGACACAGGATTGTAGAATATCCCATGCTGGAGGGGACCCCAAGGATCATGGAGTCCAACTGCTGGCCAGGACTAAACTGAATCAAGACTATGATGTAAAGAAAGCAATACTGATACAAGCTGTTTTTCTTCATTCTGGACTAACACATTTTTCACACTACAGAAAAAAAAAACCACCATAGCAATTATAGTTTTTTCTATTATTTCCTATTTTCCTATTATTTCTTATTACTGTGAGGAGGAAATGTTTCGCTCAGAGGGTGGGGAGGCACAGGCACAGGTTACTAGAGAAGCTGTGGATGCCCCATCTCTGGAGGTGGGGCCCTGGACAACCTGATGGCAACCTTTGCCCATGGAAACTGAATGATCCCTTCCAACCCAAACCATTCTATGATTCTATGATTCTATGTGTGAGCTCAAAAAGTTACCTCTGGGTGCTGCTTTCTGTCCAAAACGGAGCAGTTTGGGCTCTGGCTTGTGTGAGACAAGCACAGTCCCCTTGTGAGCCCCTCTGTGGAGAACAAATCAATATCCCACCCCAGCCTGGCAGCATGGAGGCTTGATCCAGAGGAAGATTCGTCAGCAAAGCAGCATAGGCAGAAGGCTGGCTAAGTACCACAGAGGGCTGCTTCCTTCACAGAGGCCCTACGGATGGGTGCAGGATCTCTGCAGCATGCGGGTGGCTCAGTCTCCTTCACCTGCTTCCCTCTCCCTATCCTGGGCTGGTCACACTTTTGCTCCTCTTCTGCCACCTTGAGGGAAAGAAACTCTGCTGCATGGGATGATGGAGTTTGCTGCTGCTCAGGTGTCCAAATATTCTGCTTTCAGATCGAGTTTTTCCCATGCCCCTGTGCAGAATAACCACTGCTGCCTGTGGGAACAACGACCTGCCCACATGGGTCCTTCTTGGCACATCCTTCAAATGAAAAATCTCTTTTGATGAGAAAAAGAGAGCAGTGTGTTGTGCACCCTATTGTGCACAGCGAGGGGTGGCAGAGAAGAGGGGTTTTTGACTTGAAAGCTCGCAACCTGTTATAACAGCAAGAAATTAAGATATAGGCAATGGTTCCTTTCCATGTTTTCCAATGCTGTTGATACAGGGCAGATAATAACCTGGCTTCATTATTACTCAAGATCTGCCCCTCGTTTTGTCACTGGAAAGGGGAATTTTTCTAAAATCTCTTGGTTTCTGCTCTCACAGCCTCTGCTGCTTAAGCTGGGAGATCTGTCTGGTGGGGTGGCCCTGGCCAGGTGCAATGAGCCCCATCATTCCTGCCTCCAGCACAGAAAATGCCAAAAGGCCTTGTTCCTTCTGCACAGCTTTTCCCATAAGGTTCTTGATACTCTGTCTGCACAAGCTAACGACAAGGAGAAAATGATGGGAAGAAATAGGGCTTAACCTCTGTAGACTCATCAAGAGAAGGTGTCTTTAAACGGGCTTTAAACAATGCTGAAATCCTTTTAGGTTTTCCCTGCTGTACCCTGTGAGTCCAGAAAAGAGCTCTCCTCTGTCAGAAAAAAAAGGAGTAACTTTTAAAACACAAAGTGCTTCACAACCATATTGTCAGGACTCTCTGCCATTAGGGAAATGAAAGGCAGGGGTATGCGACCTCTTTCGTTCTTGCAAAGTTTGCCAGAGGCAATCGATGCTCACCTGACACCACCTCCAGAGAAAAGTCCAGCTTGAGTACACAGTGTGGGATGGTAGAGCAAACAACCCCCATGAGCAAGTCCTGCTATGTGTGCCAAGGCTCCAAAGACTCTTCCGTATGTTGTCTCAACCTCATAGACTTCTTCACATTGCATGCAACTGTGGAACAGCCTCCTGAAAGTAGCCAAGCCCCTTCTGCACCATCGTCCTTAATGGTATTCTGAACTAGGCATGTAAAAATCACAACATTTTGTTGTAGTTATTCTCATATTTACAACTTCTGCAGACTATTGACCTAGTGATGCACTCTGCAGTTTTACTGCAGATCTCTGACTTGCTAGATATCTGTTGCAATGTTCATCCTTCTGTGGGCTCCAGCTGCTGGGCTTTTGGATGTGCTGCTAGCACTTCAGTGTCATTCAGAGCCCAGCATCAGCCTCTCATTTCGTTTGCTTTTCCACTCTTAGAGGAAGACTTGGCCTCCCACAAAGCTGCCTGAGCAGCTGCCTGTGCAGTGCAAAGCACCTGAGCTGACAGCTCAAGGCCACCCGGCAGTGAATGACATCTCAGAATTGACACAGATGTCATTGGGATAAATGCCCAGTCCATTGAAAAGGTCACCTTTTATCTGCCTCATCAGCCCTGCTCTCCTCATAGCACTTTCCACCAGCCTGAGCAAAAGAAGATTCTAGGAACTTCTGCCCCACAGAGGTGGTCCCTCCAGAAGAGGACACTGGTGGTGGTGGATGTATTTTTGGATCTGACACATCCCTTCCCTTGGAGAAAACTGTCTTCCTGTGTTTCCTCAGCTTCCTTAAACTCTGTTCTTTCTTTTCAGAATTTAAAGCAAAGCGCCTGTCAAGAACACACAACCAAACCTAGGCAGAGCTGGAAAATATCCTGGTCACGTTTTTATTGAGCACTGAAGTGGCAGAACCTGCACCCATCAAGCATAGGATGCATGTATGGGGAAGGGTCCACCCGGCTCTGCTGCTGGTCCTCAGCTCCCACGGGGCAGAGCAGCTCCAGCAATGGCAGCAGTGATGCATGAGGATCCAACGGACTGCAGGCATTGCCTGCAGTGATACTTGTGAAGTTGATCATAGCACCAAACATGCTTCAAGGTGTACATGGGGACAAGGAAAACAACCTACATTCGCTATTTCCTACTGAGCTTCGTGAAACTGCTGCTAAGCCATTTGTCTTTGGAGAGAAGAGTAGATGAAGACAATCATTTGGTATGTGCTTCCCTTCCAACTCGATGGACAGCGCTGTCGAAAACACAGCATTTATACAAGCTGCTTCTGGAGCTTCTGTTGCCAGGTCTGACAGCTGATAACTTAAAAAGAATTAACTTGAAGAAGCAAACACAATAGCACCACGAGGAAGGGAGACGTCTTTGATAACATCCAGTAAACAGAAATTCATCAGGAACACTTTGCAATTGGAAAAATATCTTTACCAACTCATCCAGCAAAGGTATCCGCTTTCTCCTGCTACAAAATAACAGCCATTGCAGTGAATGCATCCACTAAAATCAAATGTATTCTTGGATCAAATTATAGAAGTAGATCTGTCTCAATGTGGTGTTGTATTTAATAGCTAGAGCTTGGAGCAAAGGAATGGAGAGTGGAAAGCAATTCAACAAATGAAAAGATTTAGGAAAGTGTGGAGCCTTTCATCTGTTCTTTTGCTCCATAAAGCACTGAGGAACACGTCTGTTTACAAAAGGAAACGGAGAGCAGTTTGGAAACTTTCATCTCTCCAGCTGCAAATGTCATATGCAGAGTACCAAGTGTTTTATGAGCATCTGAGCTTTAGCTTAAGCCATTCTGTGAATGGAAAAAATCTCACAGTTTGTGGGAGGAAGCAAGCACTTCGTATTTGTGAATTGGGTATTTATAAACACTGCTACTATTCTGCATACCCAAATGCTAATTTTATGCGTGCAGATGGGGACGTGTACTAAGCAAGGGAGCCAAAATACCTTCCTTTGCCTAGCAATTTTGACTGATTTGTCAGAATTAAATGCTATGATCCCTTTAGGAGCATCCGTAGAAATGAAAAACATTCACAGAAAATGTGTTTTCCATTTCACAGTGCTAAACAGCTATAAAAAGCTGTAAGGCCAAAACACAAATAACATGACCCTAAGGACTCATGGATTTGACATAAAGGTACAGGACATCCAGAGAGCAGCAGCCCATCTGCCAGACAATCCTTCTGAATGCGTGTATTTATCCTGATTTTGCTTTTCTAAGATGTGCACAAATAATCCAGACTTCAGCCCCACTGCTGAGGTTTTGCAGGTACAAAAGGGCAGACACATTATTTGGGAGTATTAACTCAGGTGGCTAAAACAACTTCAAAAGGTTGGCACGTGTCTCTAACAGCTTAGATATTGCAGAAAGAAATCCATTCATTAGCTCACAGCCTACAATTCACCAGACTGAGAAGCTTAAGGAAAGTCAGTTACAAAATATTTTAAAAACCTGTTTTTCTCCTGCCTCCCCACATCCTTAAGATTTAAGAGGAAATCTGGTTTCTTGATGCTTGTGAGAAGACTCACGCAAAGTAGTTGTCTGAGATAGGCAGGGATTGGACCTGATGTAGAGAGCTCCTTTAGTCTTCATCTTGACTTTGTCACGTTACTTAATATTTTTATACTATTCAGTTGCGTTGACAGTGAAATCCGAATTGGTCACCTAAGACACACATAGAGAGCAGGCTGTGTGCCAGCAGCCTGACAAGGGCACTGTGGTTTGCAGGTGTTCTCTCTGTGGTATTTACATTTCTTCAGTGGAAAGGCAGCTCATAAACGGTGTGGTTTCTTTCAGGGATCACATTCCTCCCCATGCTGACAGGCTTAAAATCTGGACTCATCCTGTTTCTTGAAAATTCATAGTCTTTATCACTGATGGGTGGGGATCAGGGTAATGCTGGAGAAGGCCTCATGGAGATTTGGGACTAGAATTCTTCCAAAACGTAACCGTTGAGTAAATCATTCCTTGAAAGCTGCTTAATAGAGTGGTCCAGCTGGGTGAAAATTCAAACAACAATAAAGGAATTAAAATATTTATCCTTATGAGGGTGTTTGTATAGAACTTGTCCTTACGTAGCCAAGGAATCTTAATAGTCATCCTGACGTAGGTACAAGAAAGACACAATTAGCTGCTTTGTTTTCAAAACTGCCATTAAACTTAACTTAGTTTTAAAGTGAAGCTAACAGTGTTAAGAATACCAACCTGGTACAGAATCTTTGCTATAATAAACATTTTCAGTCTTGCCCGATTCAAAGGCTGATAAAACGCAATGGAGCACTTTCAGCTGGCTTTGGTCTGTTCAGACACGAGTTCATTTGCCTGAACTGGTCACAGTGTTGAGGACAACTGTTCATGCACATAAAGTTACTCCTTTAAGTCATCCACCTACCTAAGCAAGACTGACCCTTACTTACAACCCA